CTGTAAGATTTATGACTGCTGCTGCAAAATTTACTGTTACTGCCTTTAAGGACTTTGTTGATTTAAAAATATAGCAGTTTTTATTAAGACAACTGTTAAAAATGGTTGTTTGAATTTCCATTTCTCTTTTCTTTCCTCTAAATTTGCTGTGGACTCCTGTGTATCAGCTGAAATGTTGCACCATTTCAAACTATGATGAAGTCTGAGTTTGTGACTTGTTTCCAGCTTCCAGTATGATAAGATGTGTATTCACCTCTCCAGCATTGATTATTAGAGATCCACTCAGTGTTCATCAAGCAGACAGAGTCCTCCTTTGGAGTTTAGTGTGAAGCCCAAAAATATTCACTTTCCAAGGGTGCCTTCATATTTGTTGTGACTAAATTCTTATCTCTTTTGTAGGCTGCAGGAAATGCTGTCAAACGAGCATCTGACAATCTTGTTAGGGCAGCCCAAAAAGCAGCATTTGGGAAGGCAGATGACGATGATGTGGTAGTCAAAACCAAATTTGTGGGTGGTATTGCTCAGGTTAGTATGAACTGTGAGAGTCTCACTAATAGCTGTTTCCAAAAAGCCCTGCCATATGCAGCAGGGGAACTGATTGACCATATACCATATTGCAGAATATTCAGTACTGCTTAAAACTTTATTTTAAATAACTTGTCTCCCTCCGTACATTTCTATTACATTCAAATGGACAAACAGTACATGCAAAATGATTCCATGATATGTCCACTGTACCTTGGATGTATGTTATGGCATTGGTTACCGCTGTCTAATATCCCCTCTGTTCTTAATATGATGATATTCTGATGCTTAATGAATGGGTTCCCCCTAAACACTCTTAGATTTGTTTAAATCTCTTGAAACCTCAATGGCATAGGTTATAAGCAGATAGTCTTATAATGAAGTTATAGTGATGAAAACTGGTGATACTTCATTATTGTAGTTTTAACATACTCAGGAAAATAACTTGTAAGGCTTTGTTCAATATTTATTCATATGTAGAATCAATACCTCTTAGGAATAAAAACTGCTTAAACAGTGATTCCTATTAAAGTGAAACTTGCCTTTGAGCATGTCTATGGTACAGTAGTACAGTACTCCTAAAAATAGGAAGATACTGCAGGTCCCTAGAGCAGAGAATGTTCATATTATACTAAAAGGTAAGACTGAGAAAAACAAAAACAGGTCAGTTGATTTTATCTATCTTTATTTGCTTCTACCCACTGGTCCTTTACATCACAATTATTCTGTTTTGCATCTGATTGATGGGCCGTCATATTAATGACATATTGGTACAAAATACTAGGGCTGTGAGAAACAGCACCATTTCATTTCAAGTTCTGTTTCAAAGGGACAGTGTTTCATTTTGTCATTTCATTTTGAAGCACTGTCCCATTTTGTTTCGTTGAAACTGTTTTGCTGTTTCAACATGTTTCAACATTTCACCCATAGGCTATAATGGGGAATCATGAAAATGTCTAAAATATTGTCATTTCTTGCCTGATGCAGATGAAAATTGCAGGAATGGTAGTCCCTTCTGAGAGTATGAAGCCTGCCAATTTTCAAGGAGATAGGTGCAGAGGTTTCTGGGAAACTGCACCTCAGGTTGCTGACAAGCACAACTCCTGTCACTTGCCAGCAGTGGCAGCCTCCTGTCATCCCGTGCACAGATCCAGGGGCCTGCACCCATGGGAGGGTTGTGGGGTTGTACCGGACTCCTCCCAGGGGTGCAGGTCCCATCTGGGGAGTGCTGTGGGACTGTGCTGGGCTCCTTCCAGGGGTGTGGGCCCCTGGACCTGCACTCAGGATGACAGGAAGCTGCTGCTGAGACCGGTGCTGGACAGCCCACCAGGCTCAGCTCCATGAGGCTGGCAGAGCCACTCGAAGTGCAGCCCGGTGGCAGGAGGCAGGGGAGAGCCAGGGCTCCGCCAGCCCCACAGAGCTTAGCCCTGACTCTCCCCTGCCTCCCACCACTGGGCTGCTTTGAAACACGAAACATTAGAAACTTTCAAAAAGTTTCAAGTACCCTCATTTCATTTTGAAGCTATTTTGAAGCCTTTTGTTTCGTTTCAACTCTGCTGTTTTGAGTGCAAAACATGTCAAAACAGCTTAGAAACAAAACACTCTTCAAAATTTTGCACAGCCCTACAAAATACCAGCATGGATGGCTGACAGAATAGGCCTTTATGCTTCAAAGCTTTGCTGGATTGAAGCAGAGCAGTCATTTGCCTGGTCATTACTGATCACATCCTCAGCTGCATTTAGTCTGTTTACTTACGCTGTTCTCTACTCTCTTTGCTCTTTTGCTCATAGATCATTGCAGCCCAGGAAGAAATGCTGAAGAAGGAAAGAGAACTAGAAGAGGCAAGGAAAAAACTGGCTCAGATCCGCCAGCAGCAGTACAAGTTTCTACCCACAGAACTGAGAGAAGATGAGGGATAACCTGCTGAGACATTTAAAAAAAAAATAAGCTAAAGGGGACAGTACAGAGAACTGATCTGACAATATTCTGATAGGCCAAGCACTTACCTAAACAAACTGCCTGTGATAGCTTTGGGTGAGCAGAGGACAATAAACATTTGTCCTTTCTCACCTGTTCAGCTAAGGTGCGTAATCATAGATGGTACAGTGTTAAGCTCATCATTCCTGTTCCTTCCTTCCCTGACTTGTATATCTCAGGAGAGAATGCCTCACTTTTACAATGATTATAAAATCAGTATTATGTCATTATCTGAAGCTAAATCTATTTATTGTCCTTTGACGTGCTGTAAGACATTCATAATATTAATAGGAAACCAGTATGAAAAATCATTAATGTCAGAAATATCTACCAGTATGGAAATAGTAGGGTTTTTTCTCCTTCCAACAAAAAAACCGTGGTTGAGGTAGATATATTTTTGAGAGGAAAAAGGCACAAGCATGGATTCTAAGGAGTTTTGTCCTTTTAACAGTGTTATATAGCTGGTTCATCCCCAGATTGGAGGAATCATCTTTGTACTGTTTGCACTAGTTTCCTTAGTTCCTATCTAATATCAACCTAGCTTCTGCTTGTACAGTGTTTTAGTCACAGTTCTCTGGCCTGCAAAATGTGGCAACATCCATTCTTTTCTGAGTTCAAATAGACAAAGAAATGGAAACCTTGTTACAGCCTCAATAATAGCAGGTTTGTGAAGGAAAATGCTTTTCAATTATATACCTCTCAATGTGCGACTACTCTGAGAATAAGAAACATACACATGCTTGGACTGAATAGCCTTTTTGGTTAAACTTACCTGGCTCAAACTGTTTCTGCTAGAATGTATGCTAGCTGAAGAAAAGTTCTCAGCACAGCAGAAGACTATCAGAATTCTTCCTCCTTTAAGGATTTTGTTTCTTATATTTTGTTTTCAAATCAAGGGTTTTTGTAGAAAACAGTAACTAGTGATTCACAAAAGGCTCTTTTCTGTAATGTGAAAGAACCTCTGAAGAATTGGGAGTGCATATAATCTCAGTTTGCATTGATTCAAATGCCTTTCTCTAAGGATCTGCACTGCAGAGAAGGAATAGCAGTTACTCTGTTTCGTTTTGAACTGCAATAGGTACTGTATGTTTTAAGTTTCTGTAATGTGGTATAAATCCACAGTATAGACTACAACAATAGCGTGACATCTTTCACAGGATGGGTAGGGGCAATAACGTATTTTATCCTCTCTGATTAAAAACACACTAAGCAGAAACTGGATCTAGCAAAACTTACTTATTTGAACAGCTGCACAAACACCCTCTCTTTTAATCATGGATCCCCCACACTTCCACCCTAGCACAAGCCCCTGAGAAAATAATGCCAAGTCCATTTGGGTCAAAGAATGTTGCCCCTCCAGTCCTTCTGAAAGCCATGCTGTCATTTTAGATTTCTCCCAACTACTTCAAACTGAGCCAGTTATGTTAGATACATACCCACCTAATTGTCATTATTGAAGAAGTACTTGTCATGTAGACTTAAACGTAACCCTGTAGTGTTAGGATTATCTTTTTAAATATTGCTAACTTTTGCTTTAAGTTACTTGCATGTAATATACATATTGGGAATTCTGTCACACTAGCATAAGTATATAGTAAAAATGAATAGAAAATGAATAAATATTAAAATGTACAAAGATTATTAAGAGTGTTTGTTCTCTGATGCTGAAGTATTTCAGACTCAGTAGAATTGTGGATTCTTGGTAACTGATGAGAGAGCAATTGGCAAACCCTGTGTAGAATTACTTTAATATGGGCAGATATGGACTGACTTGGTCATGTCCAAATTGCGCCTCTGCCCTACTTGTGTAAAATCAGGTGAAATGAGACTGTGAACGTTATGTGCAGCCTTTCTGCACACAGGCACACAACTGCCTCCAGAGAGACTCCATGATGTGTTCTACAATTCTAGCGTTAGCTCTATAGGTTAGATTTTCATCATTACTTTGTGCAGCAAGTTCTTTGGGCAGTGACAAATCCGTCTATGTTAAGAACTCTCGAGACAAATGACAAAATTGTCATTTTTTATTTTAAATAACATAGAAGACTTGAAACAGAGTTTATTTTCACAGGACCTAAATAAATGTGGTCTCATGATAGGATCTTCTGCTGCTGTTCTTCATTTAGGATGCTTGGGTTCTAGATCGTAGTTCTTTCTCTTCCTTACCTGGATAGCTTCATATTTTAGTCTATATTCTAGTCTTTCTTTTTGGAATGCTCTGAATCATGGTAATTTGTTTTACCTGTTTGTTGCTATTTTACATGCTACTTCAGTTTTGACCTTTAGGTATCCTATTATTTACGTACTGTAAATCCACTTTCCTTAATGCTGTACCCGTATTTTGTTGTGGTCACTGTAATGTCATAGCTTTTAAGCAGAAACACAGTAAGAATGGTATTTGCTTGTTTTAGGGAAAGGAGTAAGCCAAAATAGTAAAAAGATTAAATTAAATACAGATACTCTACTGATAAACAGTTTACAAGCTTGTAGGAAAAAGTTATGTTCCCATCATCCAAGTTGCTTGGAACATTAATTTAATTATTGTACCTAAGGTATCATTCTTTCCTCATTGAACACTACTCCAGACACAGTATTGTTCATACCTTTCTTCCCCTTTGACTTGTGGCCAACAAAGGAACCACAGGTAGATTGGGATGTACAACAGAACAGATGTATTATTTTTAGCTTATGTTTTGGCAGTAGCATTGAAATCCACATTAGAGCATTTATGGTATTTAAGAAGTGGTATAGTTACTTAGTGTGAGGAAATCACAGACCAGGATAAGGGCTGGATGAGTATTAGTCTTCCTTGTTTGTCTGTTCTACTAGTTTTAAAATTTTGAAATGGCAAACAAAGTGATACAGTTTCTTGCCATCTTCATCTAGACCTCACTTCAAGAAATATAGAAAAAAAAGCAAAATGCCTCAACATTGGCTGTGCACAAATATTCTAGTCCTGTTTTATTTACATGTCCAGATGATAAGATGGAGTTGGAAGAAAGAGATCACAGTTTGTCTAACCTTTACTTTCTACACCTGTAACACTGAAGCTAAGGAAAGGGGAGAAGTTTAAATTAAATTTGAGCTCTTTCTTTCATTTGTCCATTTCCCATTAAACTCCTGCTTTTTCTCTGGCTAATTTCTTTTGGGGGAACACATCAGACTTTTGACATGAATTATCTTTTAAATTTATTTAGCACATAAACATAACTTCATACCAGATCCGACCTTAGAACATGCTGATGACAGACATTTCCATCAAGGAACATGTCATGTTGTCTTTTTGTGCCATAGCTAATTCATTAGATATGCCCCAAAGGTACTTTTTGGGTTTTTTTGATTGGTTGATTTTGGTTTGTTTGGGTTTTTTTTAATCACTACTCTTGGAGCCTTTTGTGCCTTATGTCTTGTCAGAGCTCCTGCCCTAATATAACTATACTATGCACTGAAGGTCAGCAAAAGGAGATAGTGTGTATAGGTATGTGGAATCTAATCCTCCTTCCCTAGGCAGTATTCATTCTAGAACCAGCTCTTTATATATAAGCAGCAGTGCACTGATTTAAAATGCATTCATGTCACTTGTGCTTGCCCTCATAGAATTCACATGGCAAATACAAAGCAAGTACTCTTCTGGGTAATACATATTTATCTACCTGCTATTGATTGCCATATTTTCTTACATGCAACAAATAAAATGTGCAACTTGTTTTTGAAAGGTTTATTAAAGAAAAAAAGATCTTTCTGTGAAAATACTGGTATATAGCAGCAGGTAACTGAGTAGCAGCTTCTGCAGCCTGAGCCTCTTCCAGGGGCCAGGGGTGGGAGGAGGAAGCTGGGAAGTGTCCAGAGCCAGCAGTTATGGAGCCCCAGGTGATGCACTGCAGTTACTTTCACTTCTCCCAAATACACTCTCCAGAGGCAACGTTTATTACTCTAAGTCCTCACTTACAATGTGCATCCTAATTTCCCACAGCTGAATTTTGGGGGGGGAAGGTCCATGTTATATGCAAGAAAATACAGTACTATTTTCCCTGTACTTACAAACTAACCACTAGCTTTGGAGAAAACTAATTAGTTAGGTGCTAATATTCTCGAAACAATATTCTATTGTAAGTAACATCTCAAAGCAGAAGATATTAAAAACCTTGCTAAATTGTATCTTACCCATACAAGAGATAAGTGGTATTCAACAATGAAATTCCTCTCTACCTTAATGCACTTAAGACTATGAATATAACAGATAACACAAGTAAAACCACTTGCTAGTGCTTCAGAACTTAATAAGTTTAAGTGAGCATCTGTCTTTCAACAACAAAAAAACAGTCTGTAAACTGGATGTGGGCTAAGAGGGTTACTTGTTGCTTCAGTGCGTAAGAGAAGCCTAATATCAGCTCCATGATCTAGGTTTCTGTTTTAACTTCCTTGTATGGCAACCACGTGTCTTTCAGTGTAGAAATAAAGTGCATATGATAGACATCTTTTTCATGCACTGTATATCATTCACATGTTGCAGTGTGATTCCTATAAAAGACTTTGTTTGTTTAGCCAGTATCCCTGTCCATCAGTGGAGTAATATATTGAGTTGCAAGTAATTAGGATGGCATTTAGGTTGGGTTTTTGGGGGTTTTTTTAAATCATACCAGTCTGGATTTTTTTTCTATCTGAAATTTGCTAATTTTATTGGTATTATTGCAGCTGAAAAACTTTCCAAGTGAGACCGTTTATATAAAAGTGTGCTTGCAAGGGTGTGAGCTCTCATTCTGCATCTCAACTTTCTCATAGAGCTTTAACCACAAGCAAAAGCATGAAGGGGTTTAGCCATACTGTTACACTGTATGTATGCTATTTATCTGGCCACAAAAAATATTTTTTGTATTCACCAAAAATAAACTTTTGAAGGAATGACCACTCTGCTTTTGCATGCGTGTGTGTTTGTGACCTGCATCCCATCCCTTCCCACAGATTAGCATGTGAGAGGGCATAAACCTTATCGGGGTGTAGAATTTTTCTTTCCCTCCAATCTTCTTTGTGAGGGGAAGGTAAATTTATATAATCCAAAACTATCTTGCAGACAAATAAGCTTTCAGCACCCTCTTAAGTAAGCAATTGTTACATGTATGAAGTAGTAGTATACTAAAGTCAGAAATATCAATAGTTAGGTCATGTTTGGGATTTTTATTTTTTTGTTGCTTTAGATATACTTCTGCTTCCATTTCACTTGGGTTTCTTCCGTGTCAAATTTAGAAAGTAACAAAGCATCCTGGATGCAATTCTGCATGTGAAGTTTTGTGTGTCGTAGATAATACATAGCAGAATTGCTTATAGGTCCCTAGCAGCTATTAAAACAAATTTGCTGTTGCTACTGACAGTGGTTCTCTGGAATAGCTGCAGTGACCTCAGTGTTGGAATTACTCTGGCTGCAGATGTGCCAAGCTGTGATGTTAACAAGGTATGGCGTTCCATCCCACATTTGGATGCATGCTACCCCAGCACCAGTGCTAATATTAGTGATATGGTAAGCTTCCCTCCAAGTTTGCTACGCTAGAGAAAGATGTAAGAAATAAACTGTTTAGGGATTGCTTAGTTCAGTATTGTCAAAGGGGGATAAGAGCACTGCCTGTGCTTTAGGCCTTTTTTTAATGCTTTCTCTAGAAAGTACCTCAAAAAGCATCTTGCTGTTTACTGTCCCTTCTTGCTGGTCCCATAATATGATATTGGGGGATATGTGAACAAAAACCTCACAACTCAGCATAATCCCAAAGTGGGCTCTAGAGCTGAAGGCCCTGTTCATTGTGCTTCATCCCCAGCAACTAAGGTTCAGAAGACCAATTTATACCCTTAGTCACACTTGTACAACTTGAGCAATTTGAGGGTACTTTATTAAGGTTCTTCATTTTTTTGGTTGATTGCTTGGTTCAGGTTTTTTCCATGCTGTTTCTTCTCCCATCTGTGCACATACTTGGCAGTAGGCGGACCACTTCCTCCTCAACATCCCCAACAGAGATGTATATGAGATTTTATTCATCTGGTTGTTTTCTTTCAAAATACCATTTTGTTTTTTAAATTCACACAGCTAGCTTAGCAGTGTCTTACACGTGGGTGACAGGGATATTAAGAACTGAAGTCCATCTCAGTAAAAAACATGTTATCTCTCTATCTGAGGTTGCTGGAGCCAGAAACCCTTTAATAATAGTAATAATAAAAAAAGAATGCAACATGTAGTCAACATCAGACCCAGAACCTGCTGGAGATGAAGATTTGTTCACGTTCTCTCATCACAATAGACTATTACCTAGTCTTGAGCAGTGTTTCTAAGCAGGTAAGAACATTAATATTGCTTTTATACACTGAGAAAATGCAGCAGTCTTCTCGGATATTTTATTAATTTATTTCTTAATCCCCAGCAAGTGCTGAAAGTTGAACTTCCAGCTGCGATGCAATAGCTAATATTCCTAAAGCATTAATATAATCCTTGTATTATGAAATAATTAGGAGGATTCACTTTCCCTTAATGTGAATTATCAGCATCCTGCAGTTCTTACTGGTAACCGGTAAGGTGTTGCTGACTTAATTATAATAAGATGCCATTAGAGGTGCTGCTTATATAGTACAGTAGTTTACAAGTAGCCTTTGATT